TGCTCCTTAGTTACAGCACGAACATGGCCCTTGGCAATTTAAAATAGTGAAACAAGGTTCATGTAATTAATATCAAATAGTTGGAAGTCTTGGGACAAACTTTTGTGGAGATGCTTGTTTGCAACGCAGTAAAAGTATATGTATCATTACATTAGTGTTGTTGAATGCTCTTTGCATCTCCCTTTAGGTTTGTATGTTTTGGTTAACCATTTCCTCAATATGATTTGACATCATAGACACCCTTTTCCATCCATCAAGAACCCAACTGCATATATTTGTTTTTTTTCCATTTGATTTGTGATAATGAATTTTTCTATTTATCCCCTCATATACTTCTTGCCTTTATATGCCCTAAATATCTATGCCTTGACTAGTTGTTGCCCAAAATGATCAGAAATGTAATTATTTTCCGTCGACTCTGGCTCTTTAATCCACCTAGTTTAGTAGAAAACCTCATGCGAAAAGCGCCATGTTTTTCGGTGGAGAGGATGCACATTATGTGTTATGGAACGAAGAAACAATATACGTTTGAGGGAGGAGCAAGATGCTGCTTATCGAGCAGCACTCGAAGCTGATCAGGTATGGTATTCTTTGACTATTGGCTTTGACATTTATCATATGCTAGGTTAGTCCGCGTCAATAACTTGTTTCTCCGTTCCGTACGGACACAAGTTTATTGCTCGTGGAAGTAATGTATGATATCATTAATTGCATTGTCTTATTCAGGCTAGGGAACGCCAGAGGAAAGAAGAGCAAGAAGGGCTGGAAAGGGAAGCTGCTGAAGCTGAGAGAAAGCGAAAGGAGGAAGAAGAGGCTCGTGAACGAGCAGCACGTGAAGCCGCTGAGAAAGAAGCTGCATTGGTTAGAATGCGCCAGGAGAAAGCCCTCTCACTTGGCACTGAACCTGAAAAAGGACCTGATGTTACTCAAGTAATCTCCTCTTCCTTTAGCTTACCTTGTGTATGTTTTGAGTATTAGAATTTCACGTAACCACTGATAAATCTTTAAAATGCATGTCATTTTTTAAGTTTATATCATAAAAAGCACACAAAAGTTTGAAATCATTTAGAAATAATGGATGGAATAAATTAAGAGGATTTTGAAAACTGCACCAACACGAATCCCACAGTGACTCCTTATATAGGTGTTTCAGTGTTTTTAACCTTGTATCTCACGAATGCTTTTTAATGTGTCTCCGACCCTATATTTCTTACGTGGTTTTCTTGGATCATCCAGGTTTTGGTGCGGTTCCCAAGTGGAGAGCGAAAAGGGAGGAGGTTTCATTGTACTGCGACAATACAATCTCTATATGACTACGTTGATTCTTTGGGTTCCTTAGAAGTTGAGAGTTACAGCCTTGTTTCCAACGTCCCTCGGGTTGTATATGGCACAGAGAAGCTCTCTTGGTCCCTGAAAAAAGCAGGGTTACATCCTCAGGCCAGCCTTTTTGTGGAGCTGAACTCATGAGGGCAAGCAACTTTTTCCAATGCAAAGTTAAATGTGATCAAGCTGGTAGGATATTTTATTTTGTTGACTCTGCCTGATTAAGCAATTAATAATGACGAGACTGTTGCATGTCTACATGTGGATATTTGGTCTTCATTGCATGTTCTATCAAACAAATGGCCCTTGTGGAAAATGGTTATAATATATATATTGACAACATAGACCACTAGGGAGACGAACTATGTTGACCTGCTTTTGCTTGTCAATGTAAATGAATACGGGTTTCTATTCTTTTTGGAGTGGTTTTTGGTTATGAGCTTAGGGATCATAGTTCCGCTTCCAGAATTGGTAATAGCTGGCATGTGTGCTTTGCAGTGCTGCAAGAAAAACATACCGTCTTTTCGGCCTCTGTTGCAGTAGCATTGTCGATCGGTAAGACAATTATTTTGTATTTGGGCTCTTTCTATGTGGCAGGTTTCGATGTGCGTGGCAATGCGTGAATTAAATAAATCTAAGTCTACAATGGAGCTTTATCCAGTTTAATGGATGCCCAAAGTTTTGCTTCAGCACAGCCTCGTTAAGGGGAGGGGATGGTATGCAATTTTCAAATCTGATACAAATAGGCCATAGGAGTTGTTTAGTAAGATTAGCAAGGATACTCACATCTCTGTTCTTTTCCCTGCTCACATGAAATCAAGCCATTCCGGTTATGGATGAAGCCTGCATAGTATTACTGGTTCAAAAAAGAAAAAACGAATTACATTTAAAAATATTTTTTTAGCTGATGTGATTTGCACAACAGAAAACCAAAAACATTCGAGGTGTGTTTGTTCGAGCATTAGGGGGTGTGATGAGACTAAATTAGTCCATTGTTAACATAATTAATAATAGGTTTGAATCAAGTTAAGACCAGGCCTCTTCAAGATTGTGTATGGTTCCCAGAAATCTTATGTTTCCTTGTGTTTGTAGATTGTATAATTAATGCCTTAGTCAGTTGCCGTGCATGGACAGTTATCAGCTTGCTTGGAACCAAGTGAGCATTGATGATATGTTGCAGACACCAGAACATCTGGGAAGAGTATATCTGTAGTTAGAATTTCATTCTTTTGGGTAGTGAGTGGTCTTCAATTTTGAGGGGCACTACATTCAGGGATTTAGTTACGGGAAAACAAAGCCCTTCTTGTTTTTGCTATGTTTCATCTACATAGACCTTGGTTTGCACCTACGTATTATTAACTGCTAATATTGTATACCACTGTCTTTTTCTGTGTTTCCTTCTGTCTATACCTCTCAATTAGTGATATTTATGGGCATGGGCATAGAGCTTATCAAGATCTTTTTTCCCGTTGTCCTATTTTCCCTACTTAGTCTACTTTCAAATGGTCATTAGTATTTTCAAATCCCATTCTATCATTCCGTATATCATTCTCTCCACGGAATACATATATTTCCCTGTGTTGCATGCAATGTTGAATCGTGGCAATATTCTTGTCTATAGTTGTTTATAGTGGAATGTCCAGTGTTATCATGCTTCCTTCTGAAACTCGTTTTTTGTTTCCATTTCTGTGTTAATTTTAGGTTATTCTAGTTCCACTCTTGGTGTCTGTATATATCTGAGNCGACCTGCATGTCAATAGCTTATCCTGGAATAGAGGAAGCGTCCAGGACGGGGTACCTCTCGGCACCGAGGAAAGGCTAATCTCGGGGACCGAGGGAGTTATGCCGACCGAGGTACGTATCTGACCGAAGGCACGTGTCGGTTGTAAAATATACTGGATGTATGATCATACATGACGGTACGTCGGGGGCGAGGGCATTTGTACGCCGATGATGCTCAATCCTAGCAACAGTGTTTTAGTAAACCGAGGACACGTGTCTTCATCATAGGATTTTTCAGAAAAGTCCCATCAGTTAACATAATTAATAATAGGTTTGAATCAAGTTGAGAGCAGGCCTCTTCAACTTTATTAGTACTGGTATGATGTTAAAATCACATACTTTACATTAATGAAGGATAAAGTTATAGAATGTTGACTTTTTAATTGAATTCACGAATCAATCGGTTGAACAACACCCTTATCGGGTGAGAAGTTAAGTATAATATCCTAAACTGAAATAAATCAATTCTCATTCGGATAATTGACGAGAATCAAAAAATTATTTAACTTTAAAGATGAAATTTTGGTATTTATTTTTAAAAAACATCCAGACTCTAGTTTAAATAAAAGGTGATAAATGGTANGAGAATCAAAAAATTATTTAACTTTAAAGATGAAATTTTGGTATTTATTTTTAAAAAACATCCAGACTCTAGTTTAAATAAAAGGTGATAAATGGTAATCGACTGTATTGATAAGATGACAAAGCAGATAGATTAGAATTTTCTCACTCACTCTATGTTCGAAAAAATAAAAAATTCTTGGAGCAAAAAATAAANCAGTAAGTTTATTGAAGAATGCCGATAATCTTTGACATAATGGATCTTAGTTTTACTAATCAATCGAAGTGTTAAGAGTACTGAAGTTGAGCACAGAAGGAACCGAGTATGTGATGATCTACGCCATGTTATTGCTTGCTTCGGTTACTTAGAAGGGGCCGAAGCTGATTGGTTAGGATAAGAAGGATTTGTTAGCTTGTCCCACTGGTTTGGTAACTATCTGTCACCTCATGTATATGGTTTTAATGTGAGTGGAAATATATTGATGGTCACTCATAAGGGGAATGGTTTGAAGGATAGATTAACTACTATCAGTTAAATGTATGATTCGCTATTTATAAACGGGTCTTCTCGCCCTATAGGGTAAGTGATTTACCCTTAACTAAAATTGAACAAAGTATATTAGAGGGAATCTTACGGAGATGAATTTCCCCTAATACACTTTTCTTGATTCCGCTCAATAATAGATCACCAACTAGAATTCAAGAAAAATTCGCTATATACAGGTTATATGAACCAACATAGAGATATACAATGGAAATTTGTGAACGACTTAGAAAAAAAAAATTGCATGAAAGGGAAAGAAAACTTTCGAGTATAAACGTTATCAATCAAATGATTACAGATTTCAATGCTCGGAGAGTAGAAACATGTTTGTCTACAATTCAGGTAAGAAGCCAGAACGGAAGCCAATTTTGCAGGGCTCGCTTCGTGGAAGGGGCTGGTATGCAAACAACAACTGAATCAATTGCTTTGTGAACTGGTGATGATCAATCATGTAATTTGTTAAAATAGACCAAGCAAAGGACTAAAGCAATTCTCAGTTGCACAGGGTCCGGTAACTGGCCATGGCTAATCAGTAGAAAGAAGGCACAGAAATAAAGTCCAACTTCGTTTCAGATAATTTTCTGTGTAACAAATTTTTGTCCCCAGCAACAACTGACAGAACAGTAATTTTTTCGTGGAAGATAAAGTATATTAACATCAAACAAAAGACATCCTCTTAGCTATCCACCTCTGCTTGGCATTTTCTTCAGCTTCCTCTCTCATCTTCAAGAGTTCATGACAATATTGGTGATACTGCATTTCAATTGCATCAAGCTCTAGCTTCAGCTCATGGCAACGAGCTGTATCATTGTTGTTGTTGGTAAGAGAAGAGATGCTCAAACTGAAATCATTTGATAAGGCATTGCATGAGGAAGTAAAAGAGATCCCTGAGTTTTTTGTGTCTTCACTCATATTGCTAGATTCACCTAAACTTCCCTCATATCCATTAGAATCACACTCCTTCAAACCCTGAATGTAGTCAGCAGATCTCAAAACCCTGTAATGGCTGGCATCTGAGGCAGATTTCACAATATGTTTGGCTGATATTTGGACTGAATCTTCAGTTCCATGATTCTCTACTTTAGCCACCTGAGAGAGAAAATGCTGCTCAACTGCTCCGTCAGAAACTCCAACTAATGTAGAATCTCTAACACAGCTCACTGAGATTTGGTCATATTTAACCACAGCAGAATCCTCAAATGAACTCTCTACTCCGCNCAAGTCTAGGTAGAGGGGTGTCTCTTGGATTTAGGACGAATGGTGAGCTGTTGATGGCTATAAGTGATGGAACACTGGTTTTGTATAATCCCAAGAGCAAGGGTGTGAAAAAAATAGGGATTTGTGGTGGTAGAGACTCCTATAATGTGGGGAATTATGTGGAGAGCCTTGTATTTCTGGATAGAGGAGCGCAGATAGATTCTTATGATGAGGCTATGTTTGAGGAAGAACCTAATATCAGTGGAGAAGATGCAGCCATGGCTTGAACGGAATTCATACATGCATTATGCTTTTGCGGTTGTTTTTCTCAATCACTGATATATCTTCCTGTAGACTTCGTGGTATAGACTTAGCTACCTATAAACCTCAAATCCAAGCATTGCCTTGCTATGTCTCTTTTGATTGGTGATGTTTTGGTGTCTGCTATACTATTAGGATTTCTACCGTTTCTAGTGTTTGGTATCTTGACATGATGGTAAGAAAACAATGTTATAGCATAGCATCAAGTGCCCCTGTGGGTAATAGATAAATGTTAGCATATGGTATTACTCTGCCTTCTTTTTTGAGTGCAAAGTTCAATGACATGGTACAGAGCTTAATTGTATTTTTATTATGTTTATCAAATGCTACTGTTCATCATGAATGGCGATGTCTTAAAAAAAGGAGTTTGCTTGCATTGTGGAAAATCGCTTAAATTATTATTGTAAATTCCTTCTATGGGGCTTTTCATTGGAGAGAACTTAAAAGGCCATCCATGGATTTCCCNTTATTTTTTGCTCCAAGAATTTTTTATTTTTTCGAACATAGAGTGAGTGAGAAAAGGCTAATCTATCTGCTTTGTCATCTTATCAATACAGTCGATTACCATTTATCACCTTTTACTTAAATTAGAGTCTGGATGTTTTTTAAAAATAAATACCAAAATTTCATCTTTAAAATTAAATAACTTTTTGATTCTTGNTATCTGCTTTGTCATCTTATCAATACAGTCGATTACCATTTATCACCTTTTACTTAAATTAGAGTCTGGATGTTTTTTAAAAATAAATACCAAAATTTCATCTTTAAAATTAAATAACTTTTTGATTCTTGTCAATTATCCGAATGAGAATTGATTTATTTCAGTTTAGGATATTATACTTAACTTCTCACCCGATAAGGTGTTGTCCAACCGATTGATTCGTGAACTCAATTAAAAAGTCAACATTCTATAACTTTATCTTTCATTAATGTAAAGTATGTGATTTTAACATCATACCAGTACTAATAAAGTTGAAGAGGCCTGCTCTCAACTTGATTCAAACCTATTATTAATTATGTTAACTGATGGGACTTTTCTGAAAAATCCTATGATGAAGACACGTGTCCTCGGTTTACTAAAACACTGTTGCTAGGATTGAGCATCATCGGCGTACAAATGCCCTCGCCCCCGACGTACCGTCATGTATGATCATACATCCAGTATATTTTACAACCGACACGTGCCTTCGGTCAGATACGTACCTCGGTCGGCATAACTCCCTCGGTCCCCGAGATTAGCCTTTCCTCGGTGCCGAGAGGTACCCCGTCCTGGACGCTTCCTCTATTCCAGGATAAGCTATTGACGTGCAGGTCATTAGCCTAGGCTAGTCTAGGCTATTCATCATGACCTCGTCTTACACAAGTAATGTCAGAACGTACTGGAATACAGAGGTCACAGCCAATAGGGGATGGACGCGTGGCATATGATATCACATCAGAGACAGACAAACCGCATGCCGTTGCTGACACGCGACTTGGGAAAGCAAACAATTAATTGCACCATTCCCTTGATGAGACCGCATTCAATGCGGTAAGGCTCGGAAATGAAAGGCAATAAATGCTCCTATTACAGAGCATTTATTGCATCCTCCCCGAGAGGAGCACATTGTACCGTCGGCATCCCGACGACCCAGCATTGATTGCTCGGGACCCCGAGCAGTTAATTAGAGAAGACATTCCTCATCAGAATCAATGCGCACGCTACCTGTGCCTAATGATCACCTACTGACCACACTGACAGCAATCATGAGCTTTTAAGGTATAAATACTCCTTGCAAAAGGCAAAACGGGTATGCAACAACAAACTCTCTACTACAATACATTTTTCTCAGTGTTTTCTCCTTCCTCTCTCTCACTCAAAGACTGACTAGACCGTCGGAGGGGATACGCCGGAAAACACTTCGGCGCCTTTCTAACTTGTTCTTCTTTGTTCCAGGTTACCACCGTACCTCGCAGGCTGTCCTAAGCAGCGTGTTTGGTCACTCCACCCGCTCACTCGAAGTTCACTAGGGGAGAGATCTATTCCCGTTTTTCATATTGTGCAGGATCTTGCACGCACATTAACAATGGACTAATTTAGTCCCATCGCACCCCTTAATGCTCAAACAAACACACCTCTAATGTTTTTAGTTTTCTGTTGTGCAAATAACATCAGCTAAAAAAAAAAATTTTTAAATGTAATTCGTTTTTTCTTTTTTGGACCAGTAATACTAAGCAAGCTTCATCCATAACCGGAATNCTAGTCACATTCATTTTTGCAAGTTAATTCGTAAAATTATCTTGCTCTGTTGGAGATATAATGATATTCTCTCCCCCACACTTCCTTTTACTAGTACAATTCAGTTCTGTTTGGGTGCCTTCATTCAATGTTCAAAGAATATATTATATACCCTGTGGGCAAGACCCTGCTGCAAGTATATCTCGCATAGATCAGGCTTACAAGAGGAAAGTGCTACATAAACCAGGACTAATTAGGAGTCATGGACCAGACAATAGAAAATAAAAATGGTTGTCTTCATCTAGCTTCATCACAAGTCAAGTCACATTCATTTTTTGCTGAATACAAACCAACCATGCTCCCTAAAAATCAAAAGAAATATTGGATCAAAAATAAAAAGCTCATAAATGCATGAACGTAGTAGATATATCCTGCTTAAACCATCCGTCCTGCTGTGTATTTGACACCGGTTGAAGGCAACCATGAGTTTCCCAGAAGGAATTGAGACACGGTGAAGTTGCTGGCCTGAGCTGAGTCATTCATTGCATGGAACCCTGGCCACTTGACCCTGCTATCCAAACCAGCCCCTGGGCCATAGTTCATATATTCACCATAGTAGAGAGTATCCAGAGCAAAATTCCCATTCCACTCTAGCCACCCTTCTGCTCTAATTGCGCTACTCATGTACGATTGCATGAAGACTGTCCGCGAATATAGCTTCCACGGACGACCAAGGTATGTGGGCGTGGAGTTCACTGAAGCTAGTAAATCTGGCTCAGCAGATATGTTGGAGAATTGGATAGAGAATCCTGTGGTTTCAGCTAGCTCCCTGCGGCCCTGGGCTGTAATGGTGTTTTTTTGATTTGGTAGACCCTTCCTGGCTAGAATTTGACAGTTTTGGAAGACCACGGTTCCATCTCCAAAGATGAAATCTACAGTACCAGTGATTTGGCATTCTCTGTAGAATTGGCGCATAGAGTGTGCATATAGTGTGTCCTGGTAACCCCTTATGGCACATCGAAACAAGACAGATAAATCAGAGTCTGATCGGAATGCAACTGCTTGGTGCTTTTGAGGCCCTGCAGTGTTCTCAAATGTCATATCTCGTGCTATGAATCCTTGGCCTTTAACAGCTGCACATACCACATGTCGTAACATTAGAAACAGCGCCTTCATTAATTAGTTTCATTATTCATGGCACCACATTTGTATACTGAAAAAAATAAAGAACTGAGTTACTATATGGTTATCTGATTCAGTTCCAACTCTGCTATAATAAAGGATGCGAATTAATGGTGATTAATTTCAAATGGAGAAAGCTTAGTGCTCTGCTCCGCCACCCACACAGCTAGGGAATCAAGTTGGAGGCCAACAGACAATAGGTTATGGGTTCACATATATACTTACATGGGATAATTTTATGTTTCAGAATCAGAAATGTACCGGCTCACATGGACCAGGGTGTTGGTGGTAGATTTGTACACTAACACTGAAATCTGTATAATTTCTTCATTAATACAAACTTGACAAATTTTTTTTTGNATCCTACCAGCTTGATCACATTTAACTTTGCATTGGAAAAAGTTGCTTGCCCTCAGGAGTTCAGTTCCACAAAAAGGCTGGCCTGAGGATGTAACCCTGCTTTTTTCAGGGACCAAGAGAGCTTCTCTGTGCCATATACAACCCGAGGGAAGTTGGAAACAAGGCTGTAACTCTCAACTTCTAAGGAACCCAAAGAATCAACATAGTCATATAGAGATTGTATTGTCACAGTACAATGAAACCTCCTCCCTTTTCGCTCTCCACTTGGGAACCGCACCAAAACCTGGATGATCCAAGAAAACCACATAAGAAATATAGGGTCGGAGACACATTAAAAAGCATTCGTGAGATATAAGGTTAAAAACACTGAAACACCTATATAAGGAGTCACTGTGGGATTTGTGTTGATGCAGTTTTCAAAATCCTCTTAATTTATTCCACCCATAATTTCTAAATGATTTCAAACTTTTGTGTGCTTTTTATGATATAAACTTCAAAATTGACATGCATTTTAAAGATTTATCAGTGGTTACGTGAAATTCTAATACTCAAAACATACACAAGGTAAGCTTAAGGAAGAGCAGATTACTTGAGTAACATCAGGTCCTTTTTCAGGTTCAGTGCCAAGTGAGAGGGCTTTCTCTTGGCGCATTCTAACCAATGCAGCTTCTTTCTCAGCGGCTTCACGTGCTGCTCGTTCACGAGCCTCTTCTTCCTCCTTTAGCTTCCTCTCAGCTTCAGCAGCTTCCCTTTCCAGCCGTTCTTGCTCTTCTTTCCTCTGGCGTTCCCTAGCCTGAATAAGACAATGCAATTAATGATATCATATATTACTTCCACGAGCAATAAACTTGTGTCCATACAGAACGCAGAAGCAAGTTATTGACGCGGACTAACCTAGCATATGATAAATATCNGTACAGAACGAAGAAGCAAGTTATTGACGCGGACTAACCTAGCATATGACAAATATCAAAGCCAATAGTCAAAGAATACTATACCTGATCAGCTTCGAGTGCTGCTCGATAAGCAGCATCTTGCTCCTCCCTCAAACGTATATTGTTTCTTCGTTCCTCAGCGTCAAGCCTAGCTGAAACAAGGACAGGAGCACTTTCTTCAAGCACTCTTTGCAATATCGTAAGCATTTCTTCTGGGGATTTTGGGCCCTCAACCTGCATGCACAATTTTACCAACTATGAACATGGAAAATTGAAAACAATGGATTTTCACCCTTCAAAAAGATTGTGACTATATGGTGGAAGGACACAAGAAGATAATACAATACAAGGTTGGCCCTTTTTATTTTTTTGGGGAAAAGGGGGTCTTGTGGTGGAATACACATAATCTGCCTCCTCTCCACTGGAAAACATGGCGCTTTTCACATGAGGTTTTCTACTAAACTAGGTGGATTAAAGAGCCAGAGTCTGACGGAAAATAATCACATTTCTCATCATTTTGGGCAACAACAAGTCAAGGCATAGATATTTAGGGCATATAAAGAAAGGCAAGAAGAATATGAGGGGATAAATAGAAAAATCCATTATCATAAATCAAATGGCAAAAAAACAAACATATGCAGTTGGGTTCTTGATGGATGGAAAAGTATGTCTATGATGTCAAATCATATTGAGGAAATGGTTAACCAAAACATACAAACCTGAAGGGAGATGCAAAGAGCATTCAACAACACTAATGTAATGATACATATACTTTTACTGCGTTGCAAACAAGCATCTCCACAAAAGTTTGTCCCAAGACTCCCAACTATTTGACATTAATTACATGAACCTTGTTTCACTATTTTAAATTGCCAAGGGCCATGTTCGTGCTGTAACTAAGGAGCAAAAGCTTAAGATCCATCACAGAATTCTTCTGAAAAGAATATTTGCAGCAGCTACTTAAGGCCCAAAAGCAAGTGAGCACTCAGCACAACAAAACAATACTCTTCACAACAGCTGCTATTTACATTGGACATTAGTTCTGTGGTTGAAAAAAAATAAGTACAACTTAATTTTTCGATAGAGTAAGGTACTAATTTGTAACAATTATTTAAGCAAACTGCCAAATTTTACTAAGAAGAAGTGGAAGAGAAGAGAAAATAGGAATAATGAAATAAGATTGGTCTATTTGTGTGTACTCCTTACCACCTATTTATACAAGTTTAGATGCTCACAATAGGAAAGAACATAATAGGAAAGTAGACAATTAGGAAACCCTAAATAAGAAATCTAACAACTCTTAACATATTTAATTTAGAGGAAAATAGCATCAGATAGTGTTGTAAGATGGAAGATAACAGATCACATTATGAGTCATACACCACATGCAGATCATATCACATTTCCATCTCAACAATCTACGTGATAGGTGACTACAAAATCATGGATGACTGATTCAGGGGATTAACTCATGCAAATGCTAACTTGAAGGAAAGGTTTTAAAAATACACACACATACACACATGCGCATATAAGACATTCATAGGAGAAAGATGACATATCAAAATTCCAATCTAAAAAATCTACACTGGATATAATTTACAAGCATAGTTGTTGGTATCGTACAATTCGTCTCGATACAATACCCAATCAAATGTATCATACTAGTATTATCATTTTTCATTGTGTTTTGCGACACATTTCAATACAATAAAAAAACGATTCGCACAATATCACATCATCTTTTTCAAAAGGCTTTTTTTTTTTTACTATAAATAGTAAAACAAAGTTATTTTCCTATGTGTTATTTGTTATTTTTTGGTTTGATCTCAAACAAAAGAAGCTCTCAATCATCTTCTTATCATGAAACCATCTTTTGCTTCTCCAGCATCTTATTTTTTTCTTCTTATTTAGAAAGACAAAACCATAATTATATTTTGATTCTGTTGTGAAGACAAACAATTGTCTCCCTTTTTATCTCTATTGGNAGCATCTTATTTTTTTCTTCTTATTTAGAAAGACAAAACCATAATTATATTTTGATTCTGTTGTGAAGACAAACAATTGTCTCCCTTTTTATCTCTATTGGACAAACACATCACATAAAATGATGAGTGAGTTGGAATAATATTTATATTACTTCAAACACCACATATATTTTTTTTGGGGGGGATATGTGTATAAATTTTTTAAATTGGGTGTATCTTTCAATACCTGATACGTTTTTTTCCAATAATATACAATACACGATATGTTACGACACATAATACACTATTTTTGAAAATGATACATGTTTTGACAACTTTTGCTGACAAGTATCAAGTATGACATCACAACCAACTACTTTTAATTTAGCTCCAGCGCATGCCCGGACACTTAGTCAAAACATCCTAAAATGCATTTGATCACCAGATTTTCATATCCAAAGCTTGCCACAAGAAATAACTTTACCCATATGCACAATGGATCCTTATATGGCAAAGTTGAATACCAATCTATGGGGGTGACCCTAAAAATTCGGCAAATGAATTAGCTAGCAGCCTAGCATCTCCATCCTAACAACTAATTCTAGATCATCTTTCGTCCATAAACGAGATCAGAGCAAACAAATGTCTATGTTAGTACAAGCACAATGACTGATTATGTTAAAAGGAAATATTTTTGCCACCATCTTACACATAGAAACATTTCCTTTAGCTTTAGGCCCAACTCTTCCAAAATTGTTTGTGATCAATAAATCATTGGCATAAAGAGAAACAGTTTGAACCACTAAATGTTATCTTCAGTGGTAAATCTTCTATCTTTAAAGAAGTAGGCACATTATTCAATTTCAGGTTGAGACATGAATGAATGCGCAATGCGATATGCAATTTTTTAATGAGAGGTGTACTACAATCGGCACCTAGATAAATAAACAAATAGATGAAAAAGTGACACCAACAGGCAGTGCAGCAGCT